TACGTGAATCCATTTATGACACGCAGGGCATTCGGACCAATCGTGTGACGGAACAAAGTCAATTGCACCGGACTGGATTCGCGGTCCATCTCTGTCAGTGCACGAAAGTCTCCATACTGTGTTCGCCACAGATTCCAGTCATCAGCCAATCGTCCCGTCTCCTCCACATTCAGGTAGGCCGGCGGTTGGACCTGCAGTCGACTATTCATTCTCTCCGACATTGAGAATTTCGCTGCCACCATGTCAAAAGTCGGCTCTTCAGGAAATGCTCTCAAAATATTTTCTCTAGTCCATTGGACACAAATCACATTTGGGAAGGGAATCATTGGCGTTTATATATAAACCTGAACCAATCAGATTGTTCAGGTCGGCAAAATTAGTCTTGTACGGACCAATCATAAAAATGCAATTGATGCAGTAAAACAAAACGATCAAGTCAAACAACATTACAACACAAAGGATCAATCGGAAGCGGATATCTGTTCCGCCCAATAATACAATTAAATGCTCTGTGAGTAGTTCTAGGCTAGGTATACGGTTCTTCATAACCCCTAAATGTAAGAGAATATACGGTGTTTTCCAACTGATTACATTGTACCGGATCTGGGCGCAGTTATGAACGGTGGAAGGCCATGCAAGCTCAGAATTCAACCACTCATCGCTAACGAACACAATTCGACCAATACATCTTAGCGATGAATGGCTGAGTAATTATATAGGTTAGCTACATCTTTTGGACGACCCAAACAACGAGCTAACGTTAGTCTGAGAACAATATAATACAGTTTCCGAACCAGTGCTCTGGATCAATCAAATTCCACGTGTTTCAACCAGGAATGTTATGGCTGGGAGAACGCAAGTGTGATTGGTCAACACCCACTGTACATACTACTTAATTAGTTTCATTTCTTCCAATAAACTAACCACTGATCCTATAGTCTCATTCCTGCGTCTCAGAGATCGAAGATTTCGGTATTTGATTATGATTTTGATATCGAGCACAAAACTATCTTTATTGTTCAAAGAAACTCGGATGAAGCGTTGTGATTTCTACACTTGTTTAAAAGTTTTTCGAAAAGTTTTACATTTTTGTAGTATTCCGAATAAGAACCGAACTCGAATAGAGCGCGAACTCGGAATCGGACTGAAAACCCACTGAATAGCGCAAAGTCAGGCAAAACCAAGACGAACTGTGGATACAGTTAGTTCTGTTCAGAAAATCATGCAAATATATATCACAAGCATCAAATAATCATTGGTCAATTCCTCAATGCACAATCGACAATGACATGGTTTACTTGTTTACCTTCTTGTATTCAGCCAATCCGGTGGGTCCCAACTGAAACCAAAGGATTGGTTAGTAAATCCGTTTCTTGATTGGTTATCTGGAAGCTGTCCCGTGGTGCGTGCCTACCCGTTGCACGATCACCACAATTTCCCATTGAGATATTCAACTAGTCATGAAAACCCTTATATATTTGGTAGAAATTCCCAAGAAGGTATTCGGATAAAAAGATTATTAATGGGGCAAAAGAGAATTCTGATGGATAGAGTGTATATTTAGAGATAAGAGATCATCACACCGAAAATTCACTGGTTAATTACACAGAACAGGATGCTCCTATAAAATATCCTTCCAGAATGTCAAATGGTATTGGGTGAGTTATCAAAACGTGATAAAAGTTTTGTACATTCAGGTGGATTCACGGGAATTTCGTTCGGATAGCTTCCTGTTTTGCCGCTTAAGTAATCAAGTGAAGGCAGTATTCATGTGGATCGCGACAAGTACGGGTTGCCGAACTCCTTCGTTTTTACGTCAGTTCATACATCGCACGGGAATTTGTATTAGACTATTATTAAATGCTTTTGTGCGCCTATATCATCTGTTACACAAGCGATCTGTCTCACTTTTCCGACTCACTTCTGACCGCTAATTGCCAAGATTCTATCACAATTAATTGGTCTGGAATTTCATAGATCGGAGCGTTCTGACAATGATCCCGCAGTATCCCACCGGGTGGCGTCGAACGATGAGCCCATTGAAACCGAACTAAGTTTTTCCTAACATTTTCAATCCAGGTATTGAACACTGATTGAGTAGAAACTCTGAATAACTATCGCACCCAATTTTTGAATACATGTGTTGGAGTGCGAACTCAGCGACGATGAAACTATCTAACTCGAAGGACTACACGAGTGTCTGAAGACAGAAAAGGCGTTTTCTTGTCAGGCATGCTTTGACCACCTGTAGCCAAGATCCATGACATACTTTGAACTAAACGATGAAGTCGCTGGCTCGCGGTTGTACTTTCGAACCAGTTTCGGCACAACAAAATCAGAACGGGTGTGGTTGGGACGCTTTTCTTATCGAAATGAAGTCTAACGTCATAGGACGATGCTTACTTAGATATACCTCCGCTGCTCTTCAGACAGCTCTGTACATAGCAAGAATTGTGAATTCGGCACTAAACACAATCCACATCATATCGAAATCGCATGTTATCCCCGATGTGCAAATCAACCCGTCCAATTACGCCTCTCATCTTTCTGACAAAAGCTTATTCTTTGGTCTCTTTCGGTATGCGTTTGCAATGTAAAATGTTGCTACAATATTAGGTTGGTCCAGCCCCAAATCGCACTCTGACTGGGGAAGTAGACAAATTTTG